ATACTTGAAAAATAAAAGCACCCAGTATGACAATTTTTTATAACAATTAAAATTCTTCATTTATAGTTGATGTTGACATTTACACATTTTGAAAACGATTACTTTTTTTATTATAAAAATTGATTAAATATGCTCATGAAGACATCAGTGAGAAAAGAACAAGAAATTCAGAAAACTGATATCTTTCGATATAGGTAAAAAATATTCACATTCAGACATCTATATAACACAAAATAATTGAGCGAGTAAAGAATATCCTTTTTGATAAATTTCTCCTCTTTCGACTCCACAATTATATATACCTGTGTTTATGTACATAGAATATTCTAGAATAGTAGTCAATATCAATAATAGTTTCTTATTTTTAAATAATATCGATTTTTTCAGTAAGATCACAATAGAATTACCACAGTTCATTAAAGAGGCTTAAATTATAATAGTAGTATAAGGTATAATAGCGAATAGAATATCAAGGAAAATTAGGAAAATTCCACAAAAATTCAGGATCCTTCAAACCTAGATGGCCAAGCGGCTAAAGATAATGTCTGAACTAACTTCTTTGGAATGCATAAATTAGGCTTCTTAATATGAATCCCAACAGCCATTCTCAGCAATATTTAGTAGTCGAACTTTTAAGGAAAAATTGAGATTCCTAAGTATGCGGTAAATGACCCTGAAAGCATGGTTAACGTCGACGTTGTGTTCTCTATCCACAAAATGAGATAGACTAGCGCTATGTGAATAGATTTTGTTTATCCTTTACTTGATTTAACCACGCAGGGTGATGTTCGGAAATTCGACGAGAAACACGCCTAATTGTACGGCCTATGTAACTGGTTCAGTTCACAGGAGCAGTTGAACTGGTAGATGCACATGGAAGAGGCTGAATTAAGTGGTAATTAGAAATGCGGTAAAAAGAACATTCCCTGCTGCCGAATTACACTATATCTTCAAAACCACTCCTATTTTGCTTTCGGGAGTAAAAGACAAACTGCGTTATTTTGTTTTTACAAGTGTAATAATGAGTTAGGCATAGATTGTATCTGTGTGTAGAAGAAAGTAACGCCTACAGGGTTTTTTATGAATGTACAGACTCTACGGCAAGCCAGGATATTATTTTTGGTGTACATGAAATATCTCAGTAGGGTTTTCTGTGTTAGCTATTCGTGGTGCATTTAAAATCCACCTTTCATTTATTCATTCTGGAAGCTATTGTTTAGATATACTTGCAGAATAGTTGTTAGGAGAAAAAAGGAAGTCATAACACATTGTCCAAAACAAAACTATTCTCTCATCCTGGTTACATAATACATATATATTTCAAACAATTCACCAATTCATTTTGCATCACTTTCTACTTCTTCTCTTTTCCCTTTTTTCTCAAACTCTGTCTCAGCACCACCTTTTACCGAAAGTAACATTGTGTTATGTATGTTATTTAAACTTTCTGTAGGCGGTTTTATCTATTTATCGATTTATTTATTTTTTAATGTGGTATTCGTCCAGTGTTTTTTTGATAATTACCCGATTTACCGGAAGAAAATAAAACAAAATAAAAAAAATAAAATTCGCATTCTACTGGCATCACACATTGATTCGCTATTTCTCCTTTAACTTTATTCTAACCTATATGCACATAGAAGTTGTAAAAACTGTTTACCATGCTTGGTGTTTACCCTTCGGCAAATAATGCAAATTCAGTTCAAGTATCAATTGTTTCTTTCTCCCCACATTTAGGTCAACAATGTCCTTAAATATATAGCTTTATAACCATTAAATTCCATTTTAATGCGTATATATATATATATATATATATAATAGTCGACAAAAGTGATGAATACAAAATTGAATTAGGCAGAATTTATTATTAAGTGTAAAGTAAGACGAATGCTTTTATGTGATCTTCCCCCTTTTTTCTCCTCCATATCTGTATGCATGTAGGTATTTGTGTGTGTTTGTGTGTTTTACGTTGAAGAAATTTGGTGATTTCCCCCATATTTCTGTGAATAGTTAACTATTTAATCGAATTTCAGATTTCCTTGTCGATTGGATTGCACCGAAATTCTCGGTCTCAGGTTGACATGTCGGCTTTGTGTGCAGATACTTCGACGATGTCTGGGCATGGATCTCTCATGGCCCAGTTGGTCTAGTGGATAACGCTTTGGCTTGTGAAGCTATGGTCACTGGGTTCGAGCCTGGCTGGGAACATCACTCACTGACTGGGGAATGCAGGTACACCTAGATGACGAGTTCCAAACAGGACGAAACGCGCCTCCTTGCTGGATTCCATTGCTAGTCACCATACACCAATTAGATAGTTAACTATATCGTGTAATTTGTTTTCAAGTCAATTTTGATTTTCCCGTTGATTGATTAGACGAAAATGTTTGCCCTGTGATAACACATCGGCTCCTAGTATTATACTCTTCGATGATGTTTGAGGATTAGCATGAAGTATTTTGACTACCAGTGGTGAGAAGCAGTGGAATCTAGGTTGCGTATTTCATCCTTTTTAGGACTCATCGTGTTAACAATTGTAACTGAAGCAGAAGATTTCAATCAATGGGAAAAGCACAATTGATTTATCAACAAATAATAACTGACACCCTTGCAAAAGAGGTGGCTGTCGTGACCCAAGTGGTCTAGTGAATAATCCTTAAGTGTTCGGAGCGATGGTTGCTATGCGTGTCTGAGTATCATTGGGGACACCAATACTCACTGGGAAAGACAGGCACATCCAGATGTAGAGTCTTAATTAGGATGAAACGCGAGTCATGGGTTTCACTGCTAGTTACCGTTCATAACTGAAAGATCAGTGATGAGATAAAGGTGTGTGTATGTGTGTTTCTGTAAGCTGACAAACTACTTAATTTTGATTTCAGTAGCTACTCTCAACATTTAATATATATATTTCTCCTTTGACTGAGATTTACTTTGTTCTTCCGTAACCCCCGAGAGTTGCAAGGCACATCCTGTTTTATAAAGCCTTTTGACTACACATATATGTAGGTATGAAGCTTTCGGGATAACTAATTTCTTTTTGATGTGGCCGTGTTCTTTAATGAGAAATAAGTGCTGAATAGTATTTTTAACATATTGATACATTGAAGTTTCTATAACAATTTGGTTAAGTTTTGGGGGTGGAGTTGCTAGCACCATACCAAACCCTCCCTCTTTTTCCGGGCTTGGAGCCGGCTAGAAAACTAGTGGGCTAGTAATCTAGGCGAGGTTACGCGTCAGGAAGTGGGAAACGAGAAGACAGGGGTATCCTGGAACAACGTGAAGAACCTAGAAAACCTGGATTTCGCCAGTGGACGCTTTATGTTTGATGTCATAAAAAATCGAAGACTTACAAGCGGAAACCGACCGACAAACTGGTCGAAGAAGCGGCTGGTGAAGACAGGACTCCAGGTGCACATAGACAAGATGGAGGTTATGAAAATTACCAACCAACAGCAGCAACATCCAGCTCCGATCACTATCAACAGGAGGGATCTGAAAGAGGTTACTTCATTCATCCGCTTATCTATGGAGCATTGTCTCAACTACAGACATTCGGAACGGACGAGGATATCAAATCGAGCGAGAATCATCGTGAAGGCGAGAAACACATTCATCAACCTGAAACCAATCTGGAAATCTTCGTCACTGAGCTAGCATCAACAACAAAATTCTGTCGGATTTTCAATACAGACAACGTCAAGTCAGTCAGTTCTTCTATACGGATCAGAAAGTTGACGGGAGGGCAGGTCACAAAGAATATTTCCAACAGGCTATTGCATACCTTGATCAACAACTAGCTGTCTTCGCTGTATACTGAATGAAGATCAGATGGCTGGGCCGGAAAGAATCATCAACAAGAAACTATGGCTGGGAACAAACAAAACAAGGCAGAAGAAGGTTGATCGGATGGATTGGATACTCGCTCGCTGAGGAGGCCTCTAGGTGACATCGCGCGCGCCTCAGACCATTGCTCGAGTGGAACCCGAAAGGGAAGCGGCGAGTGGGACGTTAGTGCAAGGGTGAGTGACATGGAGGAGATTGTGTGAAGAGGAGTTGAAAGAGTGTGGACTAACGTGGATGCAGGTGATAAGTACATCAGAAGACAGAAGCAAGTGGAGACGTGCAACTGAAGCCCTATGTTCCACTAGGAACCCAATGGAACAATAATAGTAATAATAAAGCCTGATTGGAGATAATATTCCCTGTGGTTCAATAGCCAATTGGTTGACATCATATATTATGTTAACTAATGCAAATGAATCTGATGTTATATAATGATTGAGGTTATTTCTGATGACCAGAAATATTTCCGGGAACCATTTTGCAATAGGATGGTATGTTGGATTGATCATGTCCGAGATTCCGCACATTAGTACAAAACATTCGAATAATTTGAATCAGCAGTGTTGAAGAATTGTGATCAGTTTACTAATAACAAACCAAATGCCAAACGATTGATTTCAACCGAGCACACAAGGCAGCTACGCCAGATCTTGAAAAATTAAAGACTTGGTGCTGATCCCTCCGGATAAAAAACTACTGATGTTGTCCTCATAAATCGTGAGGATTGCATAGCATTAAAAAGTGCTATGCTTCACATCAGATGAGAAAAAGTTTTTTTTGTCAAAGAAAACATCCAGAAAGACCAAATACAAACCTTGAAGAAGATAAAGAATAGATAAATCATTAGCCGCAAATTGTCTGAACAACTGCAATCCCTTGTAGGCATACAAGGAGACTGTATCATTGTGCAAAATGTTGAACATGATCATTTTACCATACTGTGTACTATCACTGAATGTCTCACTGTGAGACACTCTACTCACCGTCAGAAACAATCTCAGTTATTCATCACATTTGAATTCGTTAACTCTATAAGTGATGTCTACATATCCGCGACGAGAATGATATCTCTAGGTGCTGTCTCTGTCTCTTAATTAATCAGTCAGCTACTATTTTAGATTTTCACTATTCTATTTACATTTTTATTTCACCAGGCATCTAGTCTTCCTTTAAGCATAATTATTGTTGGTGTTGGTCCTGCAAATTTCGATGAAATGGAAGAACTTGACGGTGATGAAGTACGTTTAAGTTCTCGCGGGAAAACTGCTATTCGTGACATTGTACAAGTAAGTTTTTTGCAAATACTTTCTTATGTACATTATTATTAATATATTATTACTTCCTTTAATTCCCAAAGGAACATAGGGCTTCAGCCACACGTCTCCATTGCATTCAGTTCTCTGCTAAAGTTTTCATGTGGCTCCGGGTCTGCCCATATACTTTCATCGCCTTTTCACATCACCTCCTCCAAGTCACCCTACCCTCGCACTAACGACCAACGCACCGCTTCCCTTCCGAGTTCCACTCGAGTGATGGCCTGTCTAGTGATGTCACTTGATGGTTTCCTCAGTGTATGGCCAATCCATGTTGATGTCTTTCTGGCTATTTGTTTCACAATCCGTTCCTGGTTGGTTCTCTCCCAAGGAACCCTCACCACTGCTGATCTTTTCTGATCTTGAGTAGTATTGAGCGAAGACAGCTGTTGATGAAGGTCTGTAGTTTATTTGAGGTGCTCTTTATGATGCGCTGGCCAAGTCTCTGATCCATCCGTATAGTGGGTAGCACTGACTGACTTCACATTGGAGTTGAAAATCCGGATGTTGTTTTTGATGCTGAGTAGTGCTGTTGACCTCCACACAGACTTGAGAGTAATGAAAACTTGTGTTGCTTTCCTGTTGATCCTTGCTTTGATGATATCCCCATCAGTTCCGTCCGCGTGTAGTTGAAACGATGCTTCCCAGGTAGGTAGCTGAATGAGGATGTTTCTTTCAGATTCCTCCCATTTATGCTGGCTGATTGTTGTCTGTTGTTGTTGCTGTGGCTGTTGGTGTTGGCGAGGAATCTTGATCACTTCTGTTTTCTCTATGTTCACCTGAATTCCTATCTTATATATATATATATATATATATATAATTTTCGAGACTTCTTGGGAAGAATTTCCACAGAAATAAGAGTATTATGTTACTACGTGAATGTAGCGCAGTAATCATCCCTTATGTACATCATGCATTAGTAATGCTTTTTTTTTCTCAAAAATACAGAATTGAGAAGTGTGCTGTTAAAGCGACAAATTTACGATAATTTTTATCATGTATATATTTCATACACCATTTTTTCCAAGCAATTTATAAAGTGGTTTGAAAACCAAAGCATAAATTCAGGTCGCACCTTCCACTTTTGAAGCCTTGAGTTACACAATCCTGTTGTTAAACGTAAATAGTCTCCGAGATGTGCTTACCAATGAACTTTTTTTATGATAAATAAGAAATAGAGATGTCAATTTGATTTTATCAGAAGTCTTTTTTTTAATATTTGAACGAATAATATTCTTTACAATAACTTCTTTATAGGTTCATACAGTGATAAAATAAAATTTATTATTATCATACTAATATAATAGCCAGGTAGGTAGGTGTGTAGTGAATATAATAATCAATGTTGAATGCATTTATGGATTTAAAGTTTTTCAAAAGAATGGATACTGAACAAAGAGTACTCGCTTCGATAACCCCTTCATCATCATCATCATCAAGCTCTACAGTTATAGTGAATGAATGAATTAGTGTTATGAACAACATTAATGTTGCTGTTTAAATAACATCGAATCAATAATAATATCAGTGGATTACAGCTCGACAGCATCAACACAGACTAAGCTGAATGTCAGACAAAGAAATTAGGAAAGATAATATTACAAATTCATGAATTTATAGTCTCTACTGAAGGCCAGCCAGGGCAGTAGTAGTAGTGGCTAGCTAGAATTGCTTCTTTTGAACACAGAGCACTGGTTGTTTGAGGCGAATTGCAATAGACTCTGCTAACTGGAGCATGCAGTGCTTCGATGGTTTTGGTAATTTATTGGGCACCCGGTAGATGATGATAGAGAAGGTTTCTTCAATGCTGGTCCAATATTGAACTGTTAGTGGTTTTAACTTCACCTTTACTTAGCCATGGTGGAATGTATATATATATATATCTTTGTAAAATCAAATATTGTGAAAAATGCTTTCTTTTCAAGATAATTATCGAAATCTACGCCGATATTCTTTTGCCCCTCGTTAAGTTTCCTGCTACCAATTTTATAATGAGCAAGTAATCAAGAAATCAAATGATTACATAATTATTATAATGAATGTCTCTCTTCTTAGTAGTATCACTCTTGTTAATGAAATCGAATCAAACCCTCTATCACATTTTCGTTGGAGGGAGTTGTCGGAACAGAGAGAGAGAGAGAGAGAGAGAAAAAGAGGGCCAACATAAAAAGCATAAATTCGATTCAAATGATAAAGAGAATTAACAAAACAAAAACAAGTTCTTTAGAATTATCTCATTTTGTGAATAAGATTCATCTCATTTTTTTTAAATTTGCGATTACATGATAACTGTTTGCATAAACTATTGAAAATGAGTTAATTTCAGGTTTATTGCAAAGTAGAAGAGATATAAGATACCACAGAATTACCTCTCCTTTTGCTCTTATCGCGTATTCAGTCAAAGTAGTCAAGTCTCAGGTTTCTCTTTTTCTTCTTCTTTTTCAATTCTTCCTATTGTGTAAGCATTTCATTGGATATAGTGAATGTTTCAGAAAAAGAGGAAGCTTTCAGCGAACAGTTCCCTTTTTTTTTTGCCTCCAGACGTATCATTCTCGCTCGAGGTGTAGTACACTTGCTTGTTGATTAGACACTAGCCAGTAACTAGTGTAGTATGTCAAGTCCTATTTTTCGGTGTCAACTAGCACCGAAACTAGATTGAACAAGGCTTCCTGTCGTTCGCCTCCAACCTTCTAATATCAACAATTCATCACAGTACACTGTGATGGTGAGCCAATTAGTGGCATGGTGGCCATATTGCAAACTTGACTGATAGTGTTCAGTCTCCACAAAAGATAAGACTACACACACACACACGCATTACACTAGTTAATGACTGGTGTTCAATCAAAAAAAATATCCGAATAGCTCAGTGATAACTTCTGTGACTGCAGCATTGGGTGACGCGGGTTTTAATCTCAGGGGAACATGAATTCCTTCGAGGTTACAGATACGCCTCGCTGACTGACTACTGGTGAGTGCCAACTAGCTCGAAACCTAGATGAAGCGAGGCTTCTGTGGCCGACTGCCTCTAACCATCTAATACCAACAAAAGTACACTTTCATAGTAGCACCAAAAAGGGGAGTGCTTGTTTGTAAAGATGTCATTGTTAAAATTGTTAGTTTTAGATAATAATTACGCAATAAAAGCAGCATTATTTGGGTAGAAAATTAAAATAAGTGAATTGAATTAAGTAGCAGAATGATGACAAGACTGAGTACAGAATTCAACTGAAATTGAAAAAGGGTCAAGTTAAGGTCAGTGTCATAAATTGTAGAAATGTAGTAGTAAGAAAGAAAATGAAATGATAAAACTAAACAATTAGGATTAACAATAATAACCTATCAAGTGTTATCAGATAAATTAGGTTCAGTTGTAACAAAAGAAGCCAAGGGCCAGCCAACAGACGTTTATTAGGGAAATCAACACGTATTTGTATATTTTCATGTACATTATTATAGCTTATTCAAGCAAACAAACACAGTCTTCTGATTGGTTGTTTCTCACAGAAAGTTGACCTTGCATCTATCTGTGACTGTTTCTTGAATGTCAGGCCATCAGTATGTTAACTGTATCTGCCTACGCAAAGTCTGCTGTGATTGGTTGTTGAATCAGTCTTGTTCATATTTTCTCACGACCAATATTTGCGACATAAACATTGACGTAAATTAATGTCTACCGATTGGCTAGCAGCCTCCTTTCACCACACAGTGACTAAAGTTTTGGGATTAGTCTAAACTGACTTCAATATTTTAAACATAGACAGTGAAATGCTTCAGTGTGTGTTGATGACTTCACTTATTCGGAAAGTTGCATCAGTCCTGCCGAGGACTGATTGCTAACGAAATTTTGGCATGTGCATACAAAAGCCTTATTTCGTATTTTCCAGCTTTCACTATTTTTATCCAAGTATTGATTTGCAGGGAATAGGTTGCTTGGTTACAGGATTTCATCATTAGCTGACATTGGCAAGAGAACCATCAGAAAACCTGGGAGTACTGTTCAGTTGTTTCGTCCTAGTTTGGACTCTCGTCATTACGCACCCACCACAGAGGGAGTTCCAACCCAGGACCTTCTGGTTACAAGGCCAGCTCGTAGACCATTAAGCCACTTGGAGCCGATCCAATGGCCCATGAATTCTAACTCCTGCCAATTCTCGATATAGTGCAACCGTTAGCCATTGTCTTCAGCGGCGAGTATTTGTCCTCACACCCGACCTGCTGCACCTTACTGGTCACGACTTCTCATTAAAATCTCAGGTAACTACCTACCTGAATAGGGCAAGTCGCTAGTGAGCATCTCATTGATATTAAGTGTTGGTTTGTAGGGGTTTGGTTGATTGGTCACAGGTTTTCGTCATGAGCTGACATTGGTTGCTGTGAAGAGTCCCAAACTGGGATGAAACAGCTGTCCAGTACTCCCAGGTTTTTCAGTGTTTCCCTAGCTAATGTCAGTTCACTATTGTTGTTGCATGCACGATATCAGACCATCCATAGATAATGGACGTGTGTCCTGTACAGGAGTGTGTTGCATGCATGTTTTTCGTTGTGAGGGGTATGGCAGTTGCCAGTGGAAGATACAGTAAAATTAACTATTTAATTTCTTTTCTTAAATGATGTGACTTGGTTAATAAGAATGACAATGAGTTAAGTGTTGGCTAAGGAGAAGAAGTCAGTCGGCCAGGTTGCAAAGCTACATCGATTAAAATTGCAACGATATGTGTTACGCATATATCGAACTACCACTTTCCTCTAAGAGGAATTTCATTTGACGTAATTCTGGGCTAGAGGAGAAGAGTTAGAAGCATTCATATGAAAATATAACACCAGCCTGTGACGATTTTCATATTTGGACTGTTATTACTGCATATAATATTACAAATATTGGTTTTGTAGGGATTTTGTTTGATTGCATGGAGGATTTCATCATGAGCTGACATCAGTTAGAGAACCACTGGAAAACCTGGGAGTACTGGACAGCTGTTTCGTCCTAGTTTTGGTGGGCGCGTAATGCTGAAGAGCCCAAAACTAGACTGACGAAACAGCTGCCCAGTACTCCCAGGTTTTTCAATGGTTCCCTAACTGATTTCAGCTCATGATGAAATCCTCCATGCAATAACATTACATGTGCGTCGGTGGCACAATGGTTAGGACTCTCGCCGACCATGCATATGGTCCGAGGTTTGATCCCCTGCCGACGCACACACACCTGATATCTATGGTCGGCCTGCAAAATTCGGGCTACCGATAACCATGCTGAAAATTCCATACTTGTAGCAAAAATACAGTGTGGAATCAAGCTGTAATCAAAAATAAATAAAATAAATAAATAAAGTTTTGGGCACTCCAACTGGAAGATGTATGGGTGTAGACGGTGGGAAATCTTCGTATATTGGTGCTTGATCACTTCTACTATTAGCGCTATTCATATTTATGAAATTCGGTCGAATAGTTATGATCTTAAATGCAACATTCTATGTTCTGTGTTTCCTGGCTACTACTAAGGATATCAAAAACGTAAGAGAATTCGGCATAATGGCTAATAACATCATGATTATAAACAAAGTTAAATCTAGTTTCTACAAACCAAATGTGTGCAGATGACTGTTGACAATCTCTAAGAATCGATATATACACCTGTAAAAGTATTAGTTTACCCTCTTGATTGGGTTTAAGATCTAAAAAAATTTCCTGCAGAACAGTATTCGTATAGATACGCATTAGTTAGTGAAGGTCATACGTACACTAATTCGTTCGAATTATTTTTTTCTTTTGAACATCACTCATTTCCGGCCATCCTCGGCTAAAGTAATTTTCAGTTTTATGTATCAGACTATAAATGGGGCATAGTGTAAGGCTTGTTGATACTATTCGATTGGCCAGGTTGAAGAAGGTTGGGGTAGGCTTAAAATACGAGTGCTTAAGTCACCTGGTCGCATCACCAACTTGTATTCGTTTATTATTACATAATACACGTGTTCAAGTTCTTTGTTACAGTTTTTTTTCACACTCTAATTATACAAAGTTAAGGTGGTCTTCTCATCATTTCAATATAAAATCTTATTTACGCTCTATTTGAAGTATTATTTGTAACTGATACGTGTTTGCGCAAAAGGTGGCTTTTGTGGCTCAGTGTGAATACCATTACTCATTGAGATTGCGAGTGTACATCCAACTGACAAGTCTCAAATTGGATGGAGTGCGCATTCTGTACATACATCTCTTGCTGTCTGTCTGTCTGTTTTCGACATAGAACTTTACACATATGTGCACCAGTTCAAGTCGCCACACCCCTCCAAGTAGCACACAAAGCAACACAAGAAAGTAGAAGAAGAAATGCATAATAGAGACAGTAAACAGAGGTGTGAGACAAAGGAATAGTGATAACGAAGAACAAAATAGTTTTATTGGAAATCATAAGTCACATGGAGTGGATGCATCTGCGCCAGCGATTGAGAACGATTTTTAGCCATATCACCAATTGTTTCCAACCATTGGTTTTTACCGATAGCTGCTACCTTGAGGTGGTGGTTGGGCTTGCACATCTCGATGACTTCACAAGCTGCACTGGCTGGAACCAATGTTCCTGCCGATCCTCTCATGCTAGCAAGGTTGTTAGGATAGCGATTAGGCTAAAAGCATTTACAGGCATTGTGTAAGGATCTTTCTTACACTATGCTGGGGGTCTGTGGGCGAAGTCGTACTGTTGGGAACAGGGGTGTAACGGCAGTGAGATGTTTCCCTCAAATGACCAGCATGGTAGCCAGCTATGCTGTCTCTCCACTCTGGAGAGAGGGCGTTAGAAAAGGTGGACCCCAAAAATTGTACATTCCGACTTACCCTACGGTGATACGTAACCGGCGGTAAGTTTACTAATACGGAACCAATCCCAGAAACCAATTCATACAGGCCATGTGTGACCGGCCTCAAGCAGTTGTCCCCTGGGCTCTGCGGTCACGCAACACTAACCATCTCTCTGTTTCAGGTACCCGAAGAATGAATCAACTTCCATGGTGTGGGCAGCCGGGAGGTAACAACCGCCCACACACTTCCGAAAGCACACGAAGACTTCCTGAGCATCATTCTCCTTTACATCCATTGCTAGTCATCATGAATCAAAATGATATATCAAATATTTTCCATATAGTTTACCTATTTGTATGTATATGAATTAAAAGCTATTCTAATTATGTATGTGTGTATAGTAATATGCTATTCCATTTTTGCATTTCTCTTCTTCATACAGTTTGTTCCATTTCGAAATTTTCACAATTTAAATAATGTACAAGAGTCAAAACGACGTTTAACCAAGGCTGTCCTGTCAGAAATACCAGATCAACTTGTATCCTATATGCGTATGCAAGGCATTAAACCACTGAATACACAAACAATTGATTCGAAATTCGAAAAATTTGATCATATGAATAATAAACAAATGAAAAACTCTGCTTGTAACAACATGTATCATTCAAACACACTGGCTAATAATAATAATATTAATAATAGTAATGCTCCACCTTATCCTACTAATCTACCCAACATATATCCTAACAACTATTAATATAGACGCACAAATTATACGATACTGTGTTGCATATTGTATTGCATTCTGTATAGATCCGATATGTATAACACCTTATTGTATTCTTTTTCATCATATATACATATATATATATTGTCGATTATACATACCTATACAAATCTAGTCATGTATTTTTATTCTTCGTATTCCTCTTCTCGATTACTGACAACTAACTATACAATAAAAAGATGGCACGTATTGCTCAGTTGACGAACAGATTTGTTGATTATATATATCAAGGTGTGTGTGTGTGTGTGTATGGCTCATTCAGTGAGAACAAATGAGAAATAAGTAGATACACTTTAGCACTCCCTAATTTGTCTGTTACTTTATTCACAGTTTGTTTGTCAATTTCTATATTCCTCTTTTTCCTACAATGCCAAAAGTAATAATAACAATAATAATAATGACAATAGTAATGGTGATTTTCTTTCTGTGCAATATATATATATATATATATATATATATATATATATAAACACATGTGTGTATGTTGTTGTATTGTAACAATATTCTTCCTCTTTTGAAATAGCGTTGTGTTTTCTCCTTGTTTTCAAATGATTTTTCCTATACACCTACTACTACTTCTACTACTCATACCAATAATATCAGTAGTATGAATAATAGCCATGACATTGTTTGAAATAACATCTATGCATATTTTCCTATTTCTACGATTGTATAGTTTTTCTCTGATTGATCATGTTAACTTACGATTACGATTGTTTTAATCCCCAGTAATAATAATAATAATAATATTGATTTTTATTTGATTTGCCTTCTTAATGACTGTAGTAGAGAGTAGTAATTGTTGTCGAATGGTGATCTTTTCCTCTATAGATAATTGATTTAGCCTTGGGAAGTTGACGCGATATCCTCAACTTCAACATAACCCTAATTTTATGATCATATTAAGAAAAGGGAGATGGGGCTAAGTGATGTTTACCTCATATTATTATATGCAATTAATAGTGTTCTCTTAGCTGGTTGGTTTAGTTGTAGAGCTTCTCGTCGTCCACCTTCTGGACAACATCCCCTTTCGATGCAATTTTTAGCATAAAGTGAAATGATTTATATTTTCCATGAATGATAGAATTGCGTCTCCCGGTAACCATCTTTACATATGTGTATTGGTCATTTTCAATTGACTTGGATGGATTTTAAACTTTCTCGTCACATGTGATTCACTTTTTATTAGTTGGTATGTTTAGTCTATGTTAACATGTTTGTCAATTGCATATTCATTTGAGTACCAGACTGACTGCAATTTTGGTGATTCCTCTGTCTAAGATTTCGACATTAACCCAGTTATCAAACTGATGTCCATAATTGTCTATATGCATTGATATGAAACAGCAATATATATCGTATCTTTTCACGGCTGATTTGTGTTCCTGGATTCTGAAAAAGACATGATATATATGTTCTTTCATATCAGTGCATGTAGATAATTATGGACATCAGTTTGATAACTGGGATAATGTCGAAATCTTAGACAGAGGAAACAGGAAAAGTGCAGTCAGGGAATTCCTAAGAGTCTGGTGTACTCAAATGAATATGCGATTAACAAACACGTTAATATAGACCAAATATACCAACTTGTAAAAATTAAATCATGTGACGAGAAAGTTTAAAATTCAAGTCAATAAAAAATGATCAATACATATGTAAAGATGGTTACCGGGAGACGCAATTATATCACTGATGAAAAATTTAAATCGAGTTCACTTTATGCTAAAAAATGGCGCTGAAAAGGCATGTTGTCCATAAGGTGGACGGCGAAAGCCCCGCAAATAAACCAACAGCTCAGAGAACACTATTATTGCAAATCATACACCTCAGCTGCAAATTTTCTCTTTTATTTCATATTATTATTATTTTTTGAGATTCCGAGTGAGACAAAGAGCTTCAACAGAACCTCTGTTCTGTGTAGTGCTATTTAACTGTCTCCACAGTTGCTCATAAACTTTAATTTGCTCCTCACATGACCTTTCCCATATCACTCTCAAACCAATCTACAACTCGTTGTTTCCCATTTGAATTCCAGTTGAGGGTCCGCCTGACATGTAATATCTCACCCGACGGTCTCCGGAGCATATGTCCCATGCATTTTCATTTCCTTTGGCATATTTGTTGTTAGGCTTTGGATTCTTCCTTTGTAACAACAGAAGACAAAGGCCAAACAACATACTCTTTATCAAGGAAATCAACACATATTTATAGAATTTCATGTACATTATTATAGATTATTGTTAGCAGAAAAACACAGTCTCCTGATTGGTTGTTTCTCACTGAAAGTTAATCTTTCATCTCTTTGTGACTGTTTCTTGAATGTCAGATCGTCTATATGCTAACTGTATCCACCTACGCAAAGTCTGCTGTGGTTGGTCGTTGAATCAGTCATTGTTTTTGTTCTTTTCTCATTACCAATATTGGGGACGTGTACACATTGACGTAAGTTACTGTCTACCAGGCAGTCAGCCTTCACCACAGCGTGATTATTATTGTACATTTCAAATTAAGATTTAACACAGACAATATAAAGTAGCATGATGGAATATACTACTGACTAAGTGATATGAGTAGTTTTGAATATCGCTCAAACCAAACCAATTTTGTGCTTGTTAGCCAGATGGAGGTGATCTAACCACTTGGTAGTTGTTTAGCTCGTCAATAGTGTACCAGGCATGACTCAATTCAGAGAGCCGAATTAATTCGAACCACTTGAATTCTAGATAATTACTTGTGTTAGTTGGTGATATATATACGGAAATGAATATTCCAGCAGTACTGTTTGATGTGAGTGATCTCTCCGACTACCTTACTTCAGCATATCGTTTGCTTTCTTGATTTCTGTTTATGGTATAGGTAAGACTACGTGTTGTGAGCTCAGCACATTTTGGTGTGCAAAGGAAACTCTGACCGAAATCTCACCTAGAGATGTGTGTAACTTACAAATTGTGAATTTTATTCTAGTTAACAGGAAGGCTAAATTACCTACTAAAAGTCCTTCCTGAGGTCATCGATTATTTTGCGTAAAAGTTTTGTGTGAATAGGAACTACGAATGGACTATGTAGCATTAAGTGTAGCCATGATATGATATACTTTTTTTGTATGGAACGTCATTCCCTAAGCCTTTAAATACTGAACAGTTACATTTTCTAGATTTATTTTATCAAACCCACTTTCTTAACTTCTATTGATAAATAGTAGTCAGTTGAATAATACTAATATTTAATAGTTAGCTAATGTAACAGTTGACCGACTGTTATGCAAGATTTCACTTCACTGTGGTGGTGGATGTCTCATTCTTACTCGCTTCGATTGACACGTGGTTAACGAAGTGTGGATGACAGAAGTCAGAAGAAGATTGGACTGTTGTCATTCTTATCTTGAACTACAACAACCGAATTTCCGTTTTACAACCACAAGTGTAATTCATCCTCGTCATTATTATGATTATTATTGTTATTTGCATATTTGATAGGCAAGTCATGAAGGCATCACTACTGTGTTGGTACAATACACTGAATGACGTTGATCTGGATAGGTGAAGCTAGAGTATGTTGAAGTTTTCCTTGCCAATCTTCATATTGAAACAAAATCCTCGATTCGCGATTTATACAGTTCGAGGTGAAATATCTCTCCACCGTTTCCTCTAGGAACCGAAACCATTAGGATCACAATATGTTACCTGTTTGATAGTATAAATGCCAATCGAGAAACCAAGCATAAACCATGCGTCACTCTGTATACTGCTAACTAATAGGAATCACACCAACCAGAAGTATTTGTTAGCCAGATCAAGGTGATCTCAATAACGAACAGCCAACTAGGTGATTTCGGGCAGAGGTGAACGAATGCACTTAGCTCAGAAAAATACAATTACAACACTTCAAATCACTATAATTCTAGCTGGCTACTTAGGTGATTTGATAATACCATGGATCTAATTCGTAGTTTACAAATTAATTCCGCAGTCTTGATATAAACAATTCGGCCTTCTAAACTGCTTTAAACAGAGCACATCTTTGATGAGCTCATTGCTAAACGATGGCAACAACCATCCATGTGCTATATAGATCATATCGATTTTGTTAGAAAGCCCTACTCGTTTGGTATGAATGGTATACAAGTACTCATACGAATCATTCAGTAGTATAAATTATTTGATACCGACATCGTTTTTCATTCCTTGTTGCCGTAGTCTAATTAATTCATAGAAACCGAAATTAATCAAATATTATTTGTTAAAACTATGCTAAATTGAATCAACTCGAAAAGCGACCGATTACCAACTGAACACTACTGATCTTTTACTTATTCGGAATATATATTATAGGAATTTTTAAAAAGGAAATAACTCCTTTTAGATAAAACTTTAATAATAAAAGAAAAGGGATTATAATAAAAGCTTTATTTATTACATTTGTTCGTTTTTTTCTCTCCAATTTATCTGAGATGCTATCATATTAATTCGAATAACTTTTGCTCAACCAAAAAATCAAATGAATTTCATTCTCAAGGTCTCTCTATTTGGCATTTTTTTTAATGCATTCTACATTCAATCTATGTTCATATATTATCCGAGAACAAAATACCATTTTTGGACGCCCTAGTCAAGCAAACAACCACAGGGTAATTAGAAACTCAAGTTTATAGAAAATCAACTCACATAGAGAGAAAGTTCTGGTTTAGAACTCCGATGGATGCGTACTGCTGAAGATTCCCAAACTAGGCTAACGAAACAGCTGTCCAGTACTCCCTGCAGGTTTTCCAATGGTTTTCAAACTGATGTCAGCTCATGATGAAGTTTTCCGACCACTCGATTAAATCCCTACAAACCAATACTTGATACAGGGGATTTAACTGAGTGATTATAACACCAAAAACTAAAGAAAATAAGATGCATTGTCTCAATCGAAAGTTTAGGTATCCTAGAGATTAAAGCAGGATTCTAATGATGAATGTGAACTCCAAGCGATTAATTTCATCCTGCAGTTAGTCATTATTGAGCATTAGATTAATTAGTAGAAATTGAAATCACTTAGACGACTCAAAATTTTCTTCATTTAAGAAATAAGTACGACAGATAGTGGAATAACAGAAGACAACGGCCGGGCTTCAGATCGTTTATTTAGGAAATCGACACAACTCCAAGATATAAATTAATCCAAAGAATTATACAGAAAACTAAAACACCGAACGGAATCTTGTGATCACTCCATCAACTCTGCTATCCAATTCCTAGAGGAAGTCAGAGGCATCCAAATAGATGAAAAAGAAATAATGGTATCCTTCGACGTGACAGCATTATATACCTCTATCGGACAAAAACTAGCAGAAGAAGCTATGGAGCAATTATTTAGCAACGACGAACACCTTCCACAACAATCAAAAATGCAACACAAGCTGAATTGAATGAATAAACCTATGCCTAACAACACACTTCCAATTCAACG